TGAAGAAAATTAATTTCTCAAACTCGATATTTTCTCGGTCGAAATCATAACACTTGACATTTTTATATAAACAAAATACGTGCTGTGCTATTAATTAGGAATGGAAAAAGGTAATTTTGACGTGAAATAATGGAATTAATTATACATAAAAGCCTACTAGTACAGCAGTTTTTTTTTAATCATGACGATGATAAGGATAAATGCATGCTTAAAAAACAGACAGGGGAACGCAAAATAATTTTTTGATTGCCAACATATACAAGTGTTTTAAACTTCTATATACCAAATTTGGTGAAGTCCGTTAATCCACATGGCCCAATGTTTTGAAATCAGAGGGAACATCATTATCTACCAGATCAGAGACTTTCGTGCGGAGGAAAAAGAACACGTAAGAAAGAAAGTGATTAATTGTAATTAATGATTATTGACTTTGCTTAATAACTTAACAATGACCACTTTATGCCCTGCTTCCCATGCTTCTCAATTAATGATGAAATCGGAAGCGGTCGTTTTGTTAAATGTTGAAGCCACCTTGCTCATGTCTTCTGTATGTTTGAGCCACAGCAACAAAAAATTTAAACTGCATTGATTTTCTCTTAAAATATAACAGTTTTTAAAATTTATTCCTGTTTATTAATATATATACATTTTAAAATAATACTAGTAACTATCTATACTATAATAAATAAATGACAAAATATTACATTAATGTCAAAAGTTTAATAAGGCGACTTGTATATAGAATCAAGAAAATTTTTCTTCTACCTTATAAATAGGACACTTCTAACATAGTTTGCACATATTAAGAGAAACCTTACATTGCATTAAATCTTTTTTAAAATTTAACAACTTTTTAATTTCAGCTGTATTTAATATATACGCTTTTCAAAAACATAATCATTTATAATAAATGAAAAATAAAAGAGTATATTGATATAAAAAATTTAATGAGGTAATTTATAAATAAAACTAAGAAAAACTTTATCTCTACATTATAAATAGGATGAGAGGAGTATTATTTTTATTACTTAAAATTTGATTTTATTTTGATCCTAAATCAATAATTAGTTATGAATGTGGCTTAAAACAAAAAAAGTAATGGAACTTTTATTACATTGAGATAAAATTGATTCATTATTTTGTGCCTGTGTCATGTTGATGTTAAAGCGAAAGAGCGTATACATTTTTTTTCCTTGAAGTATTGAACGAATTTTGGGAATATATCATCACGTTTCTATCGCACATATGGCACTCCTCCAATGCTTACTAAATGTAAGATATTTAATATAAAAACTAGTTTATCTTTTAATTTGATTTTAAACATAAGATTATAATTTATTTTATTTTTTATATTTATCTATTTGTTTTAAAATAATCTTTGTAGCAGTTGTATATATTAAAAGTTTAATCAAATAGTAGCTTTAACTAATATATTATTAGCAAAAGTATTTTACGTAAGACAATATCTAATTATTACATATTACTAACTGAATAAATTTTCTTAATTCACTTAAATTAACCAATTAACTCTTATATTAAAAACTGAAAATAATATTTTGTAATAAAATATTTATTATAAAATATATCTTATATTTAAAATAAAAATACAGTCTAACGTGTCATAAACTTTGTATTATATAGTACATGTATTAAATATTCACTTTGTACGAAAACGAAACGTAAGTCAGATTGAATGCGACGTTCAGAATATGGGGCCACGCCAGCGTATTAAATGCACGAAAGGTGGTACGTCCATGTAAATTTATGATTCCTGCGTACCCGTTTATTAAATTTAACCTGTTTTATTAAAAATAGGGAAAAAAATTAAATTCATTAACTTTGTTTTCAAATTTATTATTCTTTAACTTTGCCTTTATTAACCATACATACTGTAGAAATTAAATAAAAATTTAATATAATCTTTACTCTTGATCTTAATATTTCAAGTTACAAATCACAGGTTTTGATCTTTCAAAGAACAAAATAAACCAAGTTTATATTGGATTAAGGAGAATGATACTTAAAAAGAAAAAAATTTGAGGAACTAAAATTTAAAATTTAAAATTTGAGGAATATCAAAATAAAAATAAACTTGAAAGACCAAAATTTGTATTAACCCATTGATATTTAATAAGGGCTAAAAAGGACAACTAATAACAAAAAAAAGACTCTTATAATTATGACAAAAAATTTATTCTGTTTACATAAGCACTTCTTCTTGTCCTTTTTATAAAACCTTTTTTAGAAAAAAAAATTGATCTTTTTTATAGGACCCTCTCATAATTTCAATGAGTATTAAATATTTTTCACACACACACACACACATATATATATATTCATATTTAATAAAAATAATACTCCTCCGGTCCTAATTATAAGACCCAATTGACTTATTTGAGGAAATTAAGGAAGTAAGTTAAGTTGGTTATTTATAATAAATAAGTGTTGTTATTCCTAAAATATCCTTGCTAATTAAGTATATTGGCTAAAACTATCATTATTAGAAGGATTATCTTGGAAAAAAATGCATAAATATAAGAGACAAAATGGATTGGGTCTTATAATTAGGACCAAATAAAAAGTCAAATTGGGTCTTATAATAAGGACCGGAGGAGTAATAAAATAAAAATTAATATGACATTAGAATTTATTATATTGGAAATGCAAATAAAGACTCTTTTTTTTGGACCGAAATGCAAATATAGACTTTAAAAAGGTTTCTCATACACTTGAAAAGAAGAAGAAAAGACGGCTTATGCCTTTTCATTCACGCACAATATTCATCTCAGTATGTCTATATATATGTGGGTGTGTGATTAGACAGGCTATGTAAACTAAATAATTAACAGCGTACCGGTAGTATGATCATCGGCAAAATGTGAATGTCTGACGGCATCTACCTGGAACTTGAGAGATTGACTCAGAAATTTAATTCCGTCACTTATTGGATATTAATATTTTCACTCTTTAATATAAGGTATAATTAATTAATTTTTTGATATCAATCTAATTAGTTAATTTAGATGGATTAAGAATGTTAAATAAATTATTTAGTTATAACATATATTACACGATCTCTTTAAAATATTTATATGTATTGATATATGAAAAAATAATAAATATAAGTATTATAAATAATTTATTTAGTTTCATTAATCTTGTCATATGAGTTACAAGAGGTTTATGTTAAGAACCTAATGTAGTATTTTTAAATGATCCAAGAATTCCATGTTGGCAAAAAAAAAGAATTTCAATTTCAAATTTTCAATTTTTTTTTTTCCCGTGAGATCTCATTCAAATGACCAACGGACTGGTCATCCGGTGACGTTTATTTTAAGCTATTTATTTATTCATTTCCACCGATTATCTCTGATTTCTAGAAGGTACGGCTGCGTTTATGGGGGTGGGAGTCTGGGAGCCACGTTTTGCGCATTCCCCGCAAAGAGCTTCCGCGTCAAGGTTTAGCAAGTAATTAATATTTCTGTTAATATTTCTTCCACAGTTAGTAATAAATTTAGTTTTGATTCTAAGTATAAAATAATCTTAATTTATTTTATTTATTAATTTTTTTAATGCTAAATTATTTAGCCTATAAATTGATATATAATTTATGTTACTTATAGGCAATTTAGGAAAATCATATCAATTTTTTTTAAAATTAAATAGTTTATTTAGTTTTTTAACCTTCTCAAAATAATTAAGTACTTTTTATATTAAAAATTAGATGTGTAGCTTTTAGTTGACTTGCTTCATCTCTTTTTCATTCTCGACCTTGTCATAATGAGTTTGGATTCTAAATTACTACCTCCAGTTCTAAATATAAGAGTTGATTGACTAATTTGAGTACATTAAAAAAATAAGTTGAGTTAGTTATTTTTAATAAATAGGTGTTGTCTTTCATAAAATACCTTTGCTAATCAAGTTTATTAGTTATAACTACTATTATTACAAGGACTACTTTAAAAAAATGGATAAACATAAAAGATAAAGTTGATTGAAATATTATATTTAGGACAAAAATAAAAGTCAAACGAAATTTTATATTAAAAACTAGAGGTAATATTAAATTATTATTTGTAGATTTATGCTCAATTAGTATTTTTATAATACATACATTTTAAAAACTGACTTCAGTTAAAATTTTCATATAGTTGAAAGAGGATTTATGTTCAATTAATATTTTACAATACTGTGTTGATGTAGGAAAGTGAAAAACTTCCGTTGGCCAAAAAAAAAAGAAAAAGAAGAAAGAAAATAAGAACCCCTTTTAGGATGGATGTGATGTGGATAAAATAAACAAAACTAATGCATTTTGATTTTAAATACAAGATGTTAGTTTTTTATTTTCATATATATATTATTTTAAAGCTAATTTATTTAACTTATAAATTAATATATAAATTAATATTATATATGAGTATTTTAGAGATATTATGTCTTATTTATTATAATTAAACAATTTATTTACCTTAAAAAATGGAGGAACAAATTATAATCTTGTCAGTTGTCACTCTATATTTTTGATATATCATAAAACAACTTCAAACAGTGATCAGTGATGTATCCTAACTTCATCCCTTAAAACAGAAGTTAGAAAGGATCTTGGCCATATGAAGGAAAAATTAAAAAAAAAGGAGCTTGGGTCTTCCTTTTCTTTGTATATATTTTATTCAATAAATCGACATAATTATATTATAATTGTTTGGCCAACTTATGATTTTATCAGATTTCCCAAAATCATGTCACAAAAAATTTAAAACTAAACTCACCTGATACATGCCATGTAAATAAAGGAGGCTCCCATATGGCCTTGTGTCCCTTTCTCTCTCAGTCCCTCTGAATTGGCTTCACAGGCCACAGTATCCTATTCTGCCCATAACCACACCTGCCACTCCGTTAAAGATCCAAACTTGATGTTATAAGCCATGCGCAAATAATAAAATTATTAAAGCACACAAATGCATAATATTCAAAATTAAACCGTGTAGTTGAGTAGGTTGCCCATTCTGGCCGTCTCCTTTAATTCTTATTTTATTCTTCCGTTTGCCTGGTTCACTCTTCATCTTCTCTTTCTCCCTCATTCCTGCGGGTCAGTCTTCGAAGCTTCTGCCTTTCTTTTGATTTCAGAGCTTGCAGCCTTCGACTAAACTCCTTCCCAATCAGTCTGTAAGTATTCAGAATCCTTTCTCTGCCTCTGTCATTGAGATACAAAGTCAGAAGTGTAATTTGATTGTAACTTTTTCTTCTATGCCTCCCTTGTTTGCTCATCCTTTTGGGTTCATATGGATGTCGAAATTTTGAATCAAGAAATTGTTCTTCTCTCGTTATTTTCGTAGAAAGCTTAGTCTTTAATGGAAAGAAACAATCCACTGCATTCTGATCCAGTTTCCCCCCTGTTTCCCATTAAAGTCTAAAGCTTGCCGAGCTAATAAGTTTGGTCGCGTTTATATGGCAAAATTTTTCTGGACCAGTTGCCTAAGATTGATGCTTTTTCCTTCCTTCCTTTCCAGGGTATGGTCAGATACTTGTTCTTGGAGTTTGAAAATCTCTCTACCAATTTGATTCTGTTCAGGGAATAGTAACTATATTCTGGGTTCTATCGGGTTCATTTTCAATACTATGGAAATTCAAACCGGCCCGGCCCTTCTCCTTTAATATGCAGGCTTCTGATTTTCCCCACCCCTATTTTCTGTAAAAATGATATTTAGAAGTTATTTTTGGAGGTAAAGCATAGGAGATCCTGAATATGTCGATCATATCAATTTTTCTCTACTCAAATTCATTTGTTGGCGAAAGTTTTCATTCTGGCGATATGAGAAAGATTATGCAGGTGATGAATAACTGGATATTGATAATTAATGAAGACTTAGTTAATCCTGAAGGTAGATTGATAAAATACGTCTTTTTAATTCGTGGAAGAATTTGAAAGTTTTGTTGTGCTTAATTTTCGAGTTCTTTCCAGACGGTTTAGATTCAACAGCGTCCTTTGAGTTTGTTGTGAGCTTAAATTTTCAATACACTGGATTCTAATTCTAGGATTACACTATCTTGAAGAGAAGTCACGTTAGTTGATTGAAGATTGAGCTATACATATTCTTTCCTAGAAGATATCTAGGAAGTTAATGGTCCCAATTGGAACTTATGAGCCTTTAATGAAAACTAGTTCGGTGAATGCCTTATTCTCTTGCTAATGCATGATGAGGACGAATCCTAATATTGATGAGATTGTGGCCATTGATTTCTTTTGACATGACTGGTTTCTTTTCTTAGAGCGAGTTGGTATATACATTTGTCTAGTTCCTCTCTGTTTATAAAACTTCTCTTCCGCTCATAATTGTTTCTCATACAACATACTTACCTCTGGGGTTTGTAAACTGAACTTTATTAGGTAGATTTTCTCATTGCAGCTTCATCCTTGAAACTATTTGGGTGGTTTGGTTAGGCAGTAAGTTTGAGGTGGGTCCTCCATCCCTTGTAATGGCAATCAAATAAATGTAAATCTTGACTATGTAACCAACATATTTAATGTCTGTAATATTTCTTGTTCTTATAATTGTGGACAAAAACAAATAATAGACTCTACTCAATGAATTGGATCCTGCATACACTGGCGTTATTTATTGCATGAAACGGCAAAATTTTAGTTAGGCGACCTTGAGATTTGAATTGACTGGTGGTTTAATTTGAAGCTCATAGTGCTTGTCTTCAAACAACTTTAGCATCAGTATGGTTAGATCATGTTTGCCAACTCTTCACTTGTCGAGGAACAGTGAAGCCCTATTAATTTCTTTAGTTGTCATCCGTGCAGCTTAATTTTTATGTAGGTCAGCGGTGCTGTAATATTACAATTCAAACATTTAGGTTTCCTCACATTAGCTTTATTTCTTTTTCTTTTTTTTAAATATTGAGCACTAATTTTGTGGAAAGTTGTACTCAAAATGGCCAATTGTGAATGGCCCATTCTATAATGATTGAAAATGAGCAAAGGTTTGGACCTCTGTTTATTCACCTTTGTCAATTCTATAGTTCAACTCTTAAAACTCATATGCTCCGTCAATGGTGTATACACCAGCTTACGTGTCTTTGTTAAGCCATCTTTCCCCGCTAGAAAGAAACTAAATGCTATATCTTGGTTCGAAATTTGTTGATTAATTTTTAAGCATTTTAGCTGACACTATAATTATGAATGTTCGGTTATTCTGTTATCAGAGACACTCATGATTCTTACGTTGTATATACTTGTGCTTTTCAGATTTAGACATCCAAAATATCACATTGTAAATCCGAAAATGGCTGCCCTAGATCAGTATTTTGAGGAGGCTTTGCCCCACACCGATTCCTTTGGTGAAGATAACTCTTATTCAGAAAAATGGGAATCTGGTACAGATTCCATTGCAGACTCTGATGGAAATGACTCTGATGGCTTTGATTGCAATATCTGCTTTGACTGTGTGCAAGATCCAGTGGTCACTCTTTGTGGTCATCTCTACTGCTGGCCATGCATTTACAAATGGCTTCATTTTCACAATCTCTCCAACCAAGAAAATGGCGAAGAACAGAGTCCACAGTGTCCGGTATGCAAAACAGAAGTTTCCCAATCCTCGCTGGTTCCACTCTATGGCAGAGGCCAGACCACAAAACCTTCCAAAGGCAAGTCCCACCATGTGGGGAGTATGATCCCACAAAGACCACATGGACCTTTGTCTCTGGTTGATCCTCGAAGACCATTTAATGCTAGTACTAGTGCAGTTCCACAACCGTCTTCCCAATTCTATCATGGTCATTATCCTTATTATCATCCTCAACAGTTCAACTCAATTTCAAGCAGTTCCAACTCAGGAATGCTTGGCATGGATGGCGCACTAAGAAACGCATTTGATTCAAGAATTGGTGTGTTTGGTGAGATGGTATATGCGAGAGTGTTTGGGAACCAGGTGACAAACGTATACGCTTACCCTGATACATATAATCTGGCAGTGAACAGTAATCCAAGGATCAGAAGGCATTTGATGCAAGCTGATAAGCAACTGAATAGAATCTGCTTTTTCCTGCTTTGTTCTTTAGTTTTGTGTCTTCTCTTATTCTGACAGCTATTTTATTTCTCCTAGTGTAATGCATACGTCTCTGTAAAGAATATATATATTTATATAAACACGCATCAATCGGATCCAGCCTTTTGTATCATATTTGAGAGTTGCATGTGAACGCTGAAATATATTATACTTGTGGGAAGTTCTATGTTTTAATATAAAAAAGTGAACTATTTGTGTATCCTTGTATGGGATCTGAATATTTACACCTCAATTTCTTTTAGCTATAAAACAATGAAGAGAACGAAGATTAAAGTTATTCTTATCCAACTTGCATGATTAGGTATAATTATGTGTGGGGGTCGAGGCTTGCGAAGACCCCCACAAACAGAGACTTGGATTCTGCCATACTATTGGTTGCTTCGCCTGATTTTCTTGGTGCTGTGGACTTTCTGGGCTTATTTCTTGGACTGTGTTTTGGCTCGATTGCTAAGCTACAGAAACATGTTCGTTTTCTTTTGAGAACATGATGGAATTGGAAAAACAGAAAGTAGGTCCCAGATGAGTCAGGTAGAAAGTTAAGGATATCAAAGGAAACCTGTGTGTGGACAAAATTACGTTGTTAAGTGTAGTTGATGGCGACGGGGGACCTGCTAGTGCGGATAAGAATCACATGGGGCATGGCAAAGACCAAGAAGATTGAATGATCCGCAGATAATGTTTCGTGGCTTTTGCAGAGTTGAGATGTAAATTTGTATTAATTTTTTTTTTTCAAAAGTGCTAGACATTCGGAAATATTTTTAGTTACAGATTTATTTAAAAATTTAAAATCATGACAATTTTATTTCTTACTATTAAAAAATTAATATTAAGTGTTAAAATAGTAATATTAACTGTTTAATAAGAGGAGGCAAAATTATTATGATTTTAACTATTTGAAACAAATTTGTATTCAAAATTTTTTCAAGTATCTAACACTCCTAAGTGAAAATTTCAGAACAAATTTACACATTAATCCAACAAATATCCTTTACAGTTTATTTTTTTGAAATTGAAATTCATTTGAGATCTAAGAATATAAAATAAATTTTAGAGGATGGAATTAAATTGAAGGAACTGAAGTTCAATAAATTTATTTTTATCGAGTTTTGTTACCATGGTTTCTATTGGATTTTAAACTTAATATTTGAGTTTATTCTCACTCACCCCGCACGGCAATATTATTTTTTTTTCAGCCAACACCCAAACGGCCATATTGAAATTAACTATTACTAAGTTATTTAATTTCTTCCCCATAAAATCATTTTTTAAATGTCTTAAGAGACTAATGCAACCTAAGAATGTATCACTTGCCACTATTTAGATTGATGCCTGGCTTTCTCTCGTAGCGGCCAATCATAGTCTTCAGGAGTTGAAAGAGAACCCTTGTTAACCCTTGTTTATGTCTCATTCTGAAGCCTTCACAAGAACCATGGCCATAGCTAGCAGGAAGCATTTCAATCTTCAGTTTTCTCCGTACTTCCACTTGGTCAGAGGACAAAGGCACGCTTTATCAGAACCCTCAATTTGTAACTTGCAAGCAAGGGAACAACGGATCGAGCAAAATTCATAAAACGACATGCATCAGCTGCTTCTAATATATTATAGCACACCAACAGGCAATAGAAGCCTTGTGCTCGAGAACTTAGGTGTCTTCTCTCTCATCATCTGGAGGTTGATATTTTCTATCTAACAGAAAATGTTGTTCCATGATAGCATCTGGGTTGTCATTTTGAATGTAATCAAATAATCTATCATAGGTACCCACGGTTATAATGCCTCTTTGTCTACATAAATTTATAAGGTCACCAGCATATTCTGAATCGCCCTTCTCTTTCAAGTGCTTAATGCAAGCAGACAAAGTAAACGGGTTAAGCCTTGATACAGGTCGATCTGCCATTATTGCTTTCTTCACCATTTCCAGAGCTTTTTCCATATCATTCTGTTCCTTATATGCATTGGCAAAATGGCAAAATGAGCCCATGTTGTTCCCTCTGGTTTCATCCCAAGCTTCAAATACCTACTTATCAATGCTTCAGCCTTATCCAAAAGACCTTTCTTACAATAAGCACCGATAAGCATATTAGGAATCCTCATATCAGAACAAGTATTATCAGATTCCCATTCCTCCAGAATTCTCTCAGCACCATCAATGTCATCCAACTTCAATAATGAGCCTATCATAGAGACGTAAACAGAATTACGTGAACGCCCCAAGTTCTTACACATACTACAAACACGATAAACCTCTTGTTTGTTGCCGATGGCAGCATACATATTAAGAAGAGTTTCATAGGCAATCCTCCTTGTCCTTGAGCTTTCATTGATGAGATGCTCCGATCTCTTCAGCATTTGTAAGGCCTTTTCAGAAAGCCCAGCTTTTATATAAGCCTTTGCAGGAAGGGCATATGTATGCCAGTCCACTGCTGCTCCATTAGCTTCCATTTGCAACAGAAACTTCTCCATGCCCTCAATGTCTAAGGTTTTCGCATATGCATTCAACCGAATGCTGTAACTATATCTGTCACAGATGCGCTTCTCTTTCATTTCTTCCATCAAAGTTTCCAATTCCTCGTATTTACCCAACCGACAATAAAGGCTTAACATGACATTATAAGTCAGTACACTAATCGAACTGCACTGTTGAATTTTCTGCATGATTGCCTCTGCTTTCTCTACATATCCATGCTCTGCATAGCAGTTCAGAAGAGCACAGTAGACCTTGGAGACTTTTGAAGTTTCTGGAATGCTGGAAAAATATCTCTCTGCTTCATCTAGCCCATGGACTTTTGATTTCAAGTCAAGCTGTATAGCAATATCTGCAGTGGGTAATTGGTTGTTCATCTCATTGCTCATCCATTCCGACACCTGAGACGAAAAAGATTATTCCTTAATTTGTAGTTTTAAAGTGTCAAGCTTGAGCAGAAAATTGCCTTCTATCCAAAATAAGGAAGCTTTGAAGATCAAAACTTAGAATTGGTGACATAAATGCACACCATCAGGGTATTGCATTTACAGACACAATACTTTTGGATTAGCGCATTACATTTACCAGCATAGTCTTGTTACCAAATGGCAATATTTTTTCTAGAGCAAGTGATCAGCGCCAGGCAACCGCTTGATTTGAATCAATATTTTCTTAATATTACATTGCACATAGTCCCCTTCCAATTTTATTTTTCTTTACTCTTCAGAAATCAGCAATTTGCCAGAATCTTACTAAATTAAAATGGGCATTTAATACTTAATCTCTATACTAGTTTCGAGGCCTCCCAATGGAAAAGTATTACCTGAAGGGCATGAGAGAAGCGACGATACTTTCGGAGCTGCTTGATTATCTTGTGGAGTTCCGATCGCTTGACCGGTCTGCCTTCTTCAACCCATTGGTCGAGCAAACAGGCCATGGAGATATTGGGGTCTCCAGACCTCGAAATGCGAAGGTACAGAGAGTCAATATGAGGGGAAAAACGAATCACAGGTCGGGTCGAGATAAAAAGAGACCCTAAAACCCGTGAGTCGCGGCATAGATTCCATGGGGAGCGAATGAGCAGCATCATGCTTTGCTCTTTCAGTATCTTCTAGGTTTTACAGGGGTTTAAGGGGGACAAAGCAAACCAGCAACACGCACTTGGGCGAGGCGACTTGGAATTGGGGCAAAATCCTCGATTACCATTTTATGAGAACTAAGAACTTAAATTTTATTAATTTTAACTTAAAGTTTAATTAATTTTTTAATTTTATTTTTTGTTAAAATGTTTTTATTTAATATATATACTCTATATTTTAATATTTTATTTCTGTAAACAATAAATGAAAGGTATCATTATACTTTGAAATAAAAAATTTATCATATGATCTATAAATAGGAAAAAAAAAACCCATTGCATTATAAATAGGAAAAATCTAAAAAAAATTGCATTTTAAAATCTTAAATTAGTTTTGTTTACTATATTTTAATAGCAACTGACTATATTTAAAAAGGAAATGACAACACATTTTTATACTAATTTTTAATTTGAAAATTTAAAATTTAAGAGGTATTATTTTAAGATTTTCTCTTATAAATAAGATTAGAAAAGTATATTTTTTAACCTCAGTATATGATAAAATTTGTAACCATATAAGATGAGATGGACATAGAGGGACTTTTTAAATCATTTTGATGTGAATAAAAATTATAACATCCGATACTATATTAGTGATTTAATAAAATCTATATACTTGTAATATAGACATGTTTTGAAATAAGAATTCTCATATTTATCAATATACCTATGATAACTATAATCAAATAGATGATTAAGATGATTATAGAAAAAAGTGTCATTTCTTATAATACCAACTATCTAACTTTCTTAATTTAATCGTGGGACGGAAGTATTTCTTTTTATAGCAAAATCATATCGAGTTGACTTGTATTATGTGAAGCGAAACTGCAAAAACCGTCGAAGAGCGAACAGTGTCTCTGGTTTCTTCACGTGTTTGAAACAACAGTTCTTGGGTCCATGCTGTCATCTATGGTTGCTTGGGTAAGTGGAGGCATTCTAAGAGTCTTTAGAATGAAAAAGAAAGAACGTCATTCTTAACATTAATCTCTTCACATACGGCAATAAAACAAACAAATGAACAAATAAAAAAAATAACAACATGTAGAGAAATGATCCTGCATAAAAGTCCAATGTAGAGAAATCATCCTGGATAAAAATCCAATCGCACAAAATGTCAATAATGATTCCACCTAAATCTGTGAGACACTCTTGAATGACCAACTTTCACCAATGTTAATGTTCATGCATATCTAAAAGATCAGTCAAAGACGAGAGGGAAGGGATCAATTGATGTCGGGACTGGGTCCAGTTGGAGGCACAGAGCCTTTGGGAAGCTTGGCGGTTAGGGTGGTTAGTGTCTCCGCCTTGGAAAGAGGCCTTCCTTGGGAAACTGAAACCTGCAGAATCAGAATTAGAACAATGATCATCGCGAGCCATGGGAAGCTTCTGAATCTGGAACTTGTTTCTTGCATCTTTCTGGGTTTACAAAAGTTCAGAGGCCAGATGGTTTTTATATAAAGTGGTGATCGTCAAAGTCAGAGTTGACGAAGCATGAATACTCCTGGCTGGGCCGGCTACAACTGGGATTTCGTCAAACCGCCGGCAAAATCATTATTCTGCTTCTGTGCTTACGTTTGTAAGGGCGGGCATTTGATCACAGGAACATCCCGCGAGATCAAAATTTTATTTCTTGGTATGTCTTCAAATCTTGTATTGTTGTTTCCAAATCCAGAGCATAGGCTACAATCAAATTCGTAGATGGCAATCAATCGAGGTGCACTCTCCTGTTTAAAATAATGGGAGAAATATGGATGGTATTATCAAATTACGCATCTGGATGAAAACAATCCAGTTAATGCGGTTGTGAAACTGCAGCTCGCCGGTTTGGAACCTTCTTAGAATATTCCATCAGTGGCATCCGAGCTTCTATCAACACACTCGTATTTTAATTATACTTTGATTTTGCTTTCCAGATTTCTGTATTGCTCATCATGGATGTGCTAAATAGAAATTAAATCCCATTCTGATTCAACATAAAAAAAAAAAAAAAAAAATCTGCCAGGGCATCCAATATTAGTTTCTCCATATCACATCCTTCCTCGCTGGACTTTTGATATGATGCTACTGGCACAAACATTTTATCGAAACCGAATAGATACTGCCGACATTTACCTGCATCCACTACGGGGAAAAAAAAATCGAGCGAATCAATTTGACATGGAATAGAGGGCGACGTATCTCAACGACCCGGTAATAATCCAAACTTTCTGCTGCAGGGGCACATATTGCCCAAGTATCCAATAATGACTGGCCAGAAAGTCACAGAAAGTACTAATTATAATAAGACTCCAGTACACTGCAAGGTCAATGATATTTTGCCCTTTGCTTTACCATGTACATGGAAGTCAGCAACATACACAATGATACATGCATTCTCGTTAGCAACAAGCCAACAGGTATACACATTGTCTCGTCAGGTAAGGTGAGCCTCCAACCCATCCACCTACCTAAATGGCTACATCTATCCAAAGAGCTAATCATAGTTTTTAAGAAATACACTATGTGCAAAGATGTACAACATATTATGGGTCATGGATCATGTGGGATAGATTTGAAAATGCCGATTGCTAAGATTCCACGGCTATCGTGTTTCTGTGTCTAACTTCTCTCATCAGCACGATAGAAGTGCAGCAATTTTATGGGCTTCACTTTTTCCTATATAAGCAAATCGATCATAATAGATTATGTTAATAATGCAATATTGATTTTCATCTTTATGAAACTATAAGCACATATTTTGAGCACCTGGCCTATTTCCTCAGATTGTGCAGGAAAGTGAAATCCAGTCGAGCAATTCTGCAAAAGTTCAGGACTTTTTATCCATTCTCTACGTGCATCACATGCCTTTATTTTTAATTTGAACATCTGCCAAAACACCAAAAAGATACAGTGCATCATAAATTCCAAATGAACATTTGCCTCGATGCTAACTGGTCTCCCATAAAAATAAACGAAAGGGCTGAGGCCCAAAAAAAAAATCCAAATGCTTCAAAGAAACAGAAGAAAACTAAGATATAAATGGAGGGTGAAGAGAGGAGGGAGTCGTAAAATGAGCAAACCTCAGACAAAGAAAAAGGTGCATGCTCCACTTGATCCCCCTCAATGATGATACCTGTACCCTGGCACTCTGGACAGAACACAGAATTTATTTTCCCTCTAGCAGCTTTCATATCATAGTCTTTTCCATTTTGATTAACATTTGCTCCCATCTTTCTCTTGGTTTTTCTTCTGACTTTTGGAAAGGCAACACGACTGGTGATCATGTCAAATTCACACATCAGTATCCAGTGTACAAGGCAGGATGCATGAAACAAGTGAAACGCCTGCAAGTAATAATCGTGAAATGAAATTCCTTTTCCAAATTTAGAGAGATAATGTTTGAATACCAAACTTTCAATCAAGCTTGATATCAGAAACATGAATGACAGATTAGCAAAATGTCTTACCCCAGTGCTATTCCGACTACTGCAAGCTAGTCTCCTGGTCTTCGAATTAAAAAGTGTTGCTACATCTTTACCAGGAAGCATTTTTTGTTTACAGATATCACACATTTTCTCTGCCGCTAATCGCTGCTGCCGTCTCAATTCTTTCCTTAAAGCCTTGCTTGAAATGAACCTGGTTTGGAGAAGTTGATTGTCAATTTGACCCAGGGCCAATCTTGAGGTGGCACTGTTAGAAGCTGAAGAGTCTTCCACTGATGAATCATACTGATTGCTCAAAGAATCACTAATATCCTCAGGATCAGAAAATGATTTCTTTCTCTTTTGACTGCTGCTGCTCTCATTCTCTGGTTCTGTCATAGAAGTAGATGGTAACAAGGACTTTAACTCTTCTAGTGATCCATTCCGACCCAAATCAGAATGGTAAGAGAAAATAATTATAGCAAAATTGTGCTCTGGAACCACAGAACCAACTAGATGACCATCAGTATCTTTTCCTAACCATTCACACCATATTCTTCTAATCCCATTCAAACCACCATCCTTCTCAAAGAACCTTGCAGCAATCTTGGCCAAACCAACCTCTCTAGCTTGTAAGTCAGAAGTTTTGTCGCCAATCAGTGCATGAGGAATCACAAGAGTGCAATCCTCATTCACTGCATCATTGGTTGAACTTAGTTGAAGATCTGAATGAACTGCACCTGACTCTAAGTACTTTATGCCACAATTAACTTCATCAACCTCAGCATGATTGTCATCACAGGAATTCAGATTTTCACCAAACTTCACAATAGCAAGATTGTTGTCGTTGTTAGTATATTCCAACAGTCTCTTTTGCTTAGAATTCGTATTTGGCAAGTCGTCATCATTTTTAATTGAGGTGTCAAAGAAGACAATGCCATCATTAAAAGGCCACGGATTAGGTCCTAGAAGGGTAACTTTAGCAGTAGATAGCCTCTCCATGTGAAGATTACCTTTCAAGTGATCAAACAGTGCAGTATCACTGTAACAGGGAGCAAGACAAAGGGTGCAGAAATATATGAATTTTTTCCCATTTTCACGTAGGTCAACATAAGGATGCCCTTGGGATCTCACAGTATGTAATATCTTCCTAGCGAGTTGCTCCCTTAGACTACAAGCACTAGCCTTTGGAAACCCTAATTCCAACTTTCCAGCCATTCAAACTTCCCGACCAAAAGTTCACATTCAAACCTCAAGACCCAAGGCACACTGAAGAAGATGCAAATCCAGCAACAATTTCACTCAAGCCTAAAGTAATTTCGAGATTACTGTTACAGACAAGTGAAATTGTATGCCGGGTTCTAAACCCTAGGGAATCCAAGTTCCACGATATAATTAAAGAAATTCTAAATTCTGCAAAAGCACACTTCCTGTCGACACGGTAGTTACTAATATCCAAGTTTACACAAACATAATCAGACGAACAGTATCAATTCAGAAACGAATAAACCGAGAACTAGTGAAGGAATTATCCAACAGTCGGAATCAGGAGTAGGCAGGAACAGCGAACAACGAAATACCTATGGGAAAAATAAACACAGAAACCTTGGAGATAGAACCTTAGCAGGCCACTGCCAAAGCACATATTCGGATCGTACACGGTATTAAATTATTGGGTAATCGCCGGGCTCTTCCATCTCCGGGGAACGCCTGAAGATCCATAGAGAGAACCTCATGCGAGAGCGAATCCTCCATTGCCATCTCCATTTCCAGCAGAGAATTTGAAATCGAAAGGGGTTTCGAGGGAGAGAGAACGAGAGAAAGGGGGGGAAATTTAGAGGGAAGAAGGAAAATGGGAATCGAGAAAGACAACTAATCTTAACCGAAATTTGAGATTACATTAGAAGCGAGGAATATTATGATAATATCAATTATCTACCTGCCATTGCATTGAATTAAGAAATAAAGTAATTATAACGGACGGTGATGATGGAGAAATATCTTATTAGTTGACCGGAGAGACGGACAAGACATCAAGATTCGAATTTTGAACGTAAGATGCTCAAAAGTTTATTGGATTTGTCCTCAATTCTCACCCCCCACCTTCATTGGGATTGCGTAACCAGGTTAACTCCCCTCCCCACCAGGGCGTTTGGGTGTTCATAATAATCTTACTCTTAAATAGGAGAATTTATTTTACAAAATTCACACTTGTTATAAAAAAATCATATTTTCCTCAGAATACTAATTTAGAACTTTTTAAATCTTAGTAAAAGGTATTGATAAAAATAAAGTTATAATTTCTATAAAAGAATATTGCGTATATTTTGTTGATTTTACTTGATAATCATTTATTTTCTTTTTTAAATTCATCTTAAATTAGAGAAGCCCGTCTTATAAACAGTCCAGGATGAAATGTGAGTTTAAAAAGCAGCACATGGTCTGAAAAAAATTAATAGTCTTGCACAGGAGAATTACAGTAATGAGATTGAGGTACTTTGCTTCAATTGTCGTGATGACGATTATTATAATCTTTAAACTTAACGTGGATTGAAAGGAGGGTGTTAGTTCAAATACAAACATTATAGAACAATGGTTAGTTCAGAAAAGTAACCAAAGTTAGGTGGAAAGATGAACATAAACAAAGTAAACAATCACGTGAAGTCCATACAGCATTCTTTATTTATCATTTTGAATTTGAAAAAAAAAATAGAAAAAGAAATCTGTGTTTAATACAAATAGGATATCATCAAAGTTAAAGCATTGTACAAGGAATGTATGAGAAAGGGAGACTTCAAATTCCCAGTCCAGCAATAGGAGCAGCCAAGGACACAGCCAACAGTGAACAAATGCAGAAAGCTCCCAACAGAGAAGTGAATTGCACCGAAAATGGCTGAACTCAGAGCAACTGCTTTTAGCCATCCCATGGTGGGGGAAAGTGATGTTAGCATAAACCCTCTGTAAACAATTTCCTCCAGAAGGGGACAGACAATACAGTAAAACATGACGCTGGCTACTCTCGAGACATCACTGCTTAAGAGGATCTCCTTCAATACGGGGCTGCTCACAGGCTGCACTAACAACAAATTTCTCATAACTTCAAACGATAATTCCTACGAAACATATTTAGGTCTCCACAAATTTCATTCACTATACGGACTTCGAATCTGTCTTAATGGCTGGCTATCACTAAGTCCTCAGCTTCGCTGGCATTTTCAATAAACAAGTGTAGCAGGAGGAAATGATAATTTTCAGTGTGTTTAGTCAGAATGTTGTTATTTTCATTTTAAAATTCAATGACACAATTTGAAGTGAACTATTTAACATTACAGGAATGCATGAGAATCTTCAAGAACTGCCAACTGGGCAATTGTTTAAGATTCAGAAGACAAGGCTTTCAGTCTTTCACAACTAAGCAATATGCTAATCAATAATTAATTTCTGGTTATTTTTTTCAAAAGCACTCTTTCCATTATCAAATGGAACATGTCAGTTTGATACAAGATCTTACTTATATCCATATACTTACAAAGCAGATACATAATTTAACAAGTTTTCCCCTTACTAGCGTGTTAGATGCCACATAGAAATAGAAGACTATGGATATTTATGAACAGAGTTCAACTCTAACATTCGCAGATACTACCTCTGGTCCTTAATATAAGATCTTATTTGACTTTTATTTTGATCCTAAATATAAGATCTCAATCCACTTTGTCTCTTATATTTATATATATTTTTTCAAAGTAGTCATTCTAACAATAGTAATTCTAGCTAATACGCTTGATTAGTAAGGATATTTTAGGAAATACAACACTTATTTAGGACAAATAACTAACTCAACTTACTTCCTTAATCTTCTCAAATCAATCAACTAACTCTTATAAATAGGACCGGAGGTAGTACCATAGCAATGAGAGGAGGATTGTTAACAAATGTGGAAGATGATTCATAATTGACTCTGCAGAAGTAAAATGCAAAGCAAAAGACAAACACGACTAACCGTGGGGCCAAATAACTTGCTTTCAATGAGTGATAGTAGATAAAGCAGAAGCACAAGAACTCCGAATCCCACTGCTGATGCCAAAACCCAATTCCTGTCAACTAATCCGCTACTTTTGAAGAAATTTGGAAGCTTATATTGCGGCTTAGCCATGTACTTCAGTAAAAATAATGCTCCATTAAGCTCGAGGATTTGAATAAAAAGAATTCCTAGGATCTGCATCGGTGAATTTCGAAGGAGTCGTTAGAATATGTGTTCGAAATATATTCAGAAATTTGATATCAAAATTAAAGTTCAGAATCCGAAGCTAAATATATAAAGGTTGAAGACCATCTCTAGCATTTTGCATCAGACAATGAACAGAAGTTGCAGTGAATACTTAAACAAGTGTACACTATACTGATGACCGTCATTGTGTTTAAAAATGAAGTCACCTTCAACATGCTATATGAAATTGAGCCGAGCAAACTCAGTCGCATAGCTGGTTATGGCCCTATCCATGTGATAAGTGTGAATCCAAACTCTTACCAGCACAAACAAATGACAAATTCACTGTCAAATCATGAAATGAATGTAGCAATCCAAACAAGAGGAGAACAGTGGGTATGAACACTAACAAGAGACGCAAATAGATGACATATAGAAAAACTTAAAAGCAACTCATTTTTCATTCATTTCTTCTTTCTCAATAAAAGTTAGGGAGATAATTCCTGATCAGTAACTAGGAAAGCAACAGACAAAAAAACTCACCTCAGTTTGTGGACTAAGACGATTCTTCCCCATTATCCAGGCAATCGCAGGTAACCCTCCAAAACTCAAAGGAACATGCACGCTGAACACGTAGAAAGCAAAAGTGCTCCAAAGGATCCCACCCTCCCATGGACTGTCCCCTGGCAATACCGAGAATCCCTATTACAATATGGAATAACGAATAAGCCGACATATTTTGATAATTCTGCACATGAGAATGCTAAACAACACCAAAATACACCAACTTTGGTGCGTAGAGCTTATTAATCACATTCAAATGAGAGTAGCAGCAAGTGAAGAATCAGACAAAATAAGAAGCTAGACTTTATTTTTCCTATTTACCTGAGGAAGCCCGTCCTCTTGAGTGGCTTTACTTCTTTTGCAGGAGATCTTGAAAGAAGGGCGATAGCTGAGAGTGGCACCGCATCTGGGTTGTAAGGAACAAGTGAGCTGATTAGTGGAGAACAGAGAGCAGTGAAGCGGTTTAGTAAAGTGTCTGACGAATTTAGTGCTCCGTGAAGACGGCGGTGAAGAATATAGAAGTGGCCATCGCATCGATGACATCTTACCTTCGTTCAACGATAGACAACCTCCCCACTAAAAAGGGCAGCGGGGATAAATAAGAACAAATAACTGAAGGATTCTGTACTTGTTATACTTAAATTGCAGCGAAAGGAAAGGATTAGGAAGGATACACAATCCATGGGACCCACGCCGAATCCATCCGTCCAGTATCCAACGGAAAGGAAGGAAAAGGATAATCAGCAGGATCCATACCGCAGTAATCGAAGAACCTTTCTTTTTCCTCTTCCAATCGCTCCTCCTCAGGCGGGCCACCAGAGCTCGTGACTTCCACAGAGAAGCCAAGAGCCGCAGTCTTCAGCCTCCTCCTACGTTTTCATGTCCAGCATTTCAAACGCAGAACTTCCCTGCGGATGACGAAAACCATGGCAGATTCTCAAACCTTGATGGCTCACCCTTCGTTACATGGTAGAGGGGGAATCTGAATCTCTTGAAACTTGGTGACACGGGATTCTTTCTCATGTCCGGGGGGAGACTCATGTCAAAGGCAACCAAGCAGAGAGACTCTGGGAGAGGTCAGATACTCGGATAGTGGTGGGGTAATTATATTTTATCTTTATTAATATATTACACACAATTAATCTAATTCATTTTACTTATTGTACATCCATCCATTGCATATATAATACGCGGTGGAGAGGGCTTAAAATGCTCGTTTTGTAGAAAGTGAACTGAAAACTCACTAACGAACGGTCATCTAGGTGAACCATTCATGGCGCCAAGTGCCATTGTAGAGCTTCATAGTAACTCCGGCGACTGGGATAAGATAGTGCGGAGATTGTGAAATTGGAGAGAAAAATATTTCCCAAACATGAATCACTTGCTACGTTCTTTGACCAAGAACTGAGAAAGAAGAACTCTGGATTGCTTTACCTTGACGTGGATGGAGAAATTATAGGCTATGTCATGTATTCGTGGCCTTCTTCCTTGTACGCCTCTATCACAAAGCTGGCAGGTTTCAACTTCCTCTTCCTATATCGAGTTTTCTACTTTTCATGTTGGGTTTTGCATTGTTGTTTCAGCCTGGTTCACGACCATAAGGCGTTTGATGAAAATACACAACTAAAAAATGTCGAAACTTTACATAGCAAGTCATCGTGCTTTATTGGATTTTGTATATTATATGTAAATATAGATATTCATCTGGCCTCACCGGCACAATTTCCTGACCTGGGTATTACCATATTGTGGTTTTACTAGTGAAGGAGCAATGGAGGAGGCAAGGCCATGGGGAGATTCTGCTAAAGGCAGCAATAGAGAAATGCAGAACAAGGAAAGTCGCTCGCATATTGCTTCATGTTGATCCCACGAGGACCCAGCCTTGACACTTTACAAGAAGCGAGGCTTCCAGGTCGACGCTTTGATCGAAGGGTACTACTCCTCTGATCGAAATGCTTATAGAATGTACTTGGATTTGGACGACGCCAATTAACGCACTGGCTAATTAAGCACTTTCTATTGTAGTTTTTACTTTTTACTAGCTCTGTTGTAATTTTCTGAATGCTGAATTTTTGAGGATTTTAGTCAATATTGAAGAAGAAATTTTCATACCCATGTTTAACATTCGTTGGACATATGAAAAGCATACTTCTGTGTCCCCCCCCCCGGGGAACTATTTCTTCGACTGAGTCTGTTTGGATAGCAAATTAGCAATTTTTAATCTCAAATGTGCTTTGGG